GTCTTCTCTGTCTGGACTCATACCAAACCTTTGAAGGTGAATGTTATTGTTAGGGTTGGTTCTGACCCAGAGTGACCCTGTGCACAGCAGAACGAAACGAGGCCTGGTTCTGTGCCAACCTCCCGGTTGTTGACTGAGGCGTATGATGTTCTTTGGCAATGAAATCTAGTGAATAAAAGTCAATGGGTCACTAGCAGGAAGAAGCTTGAGATGTCAATGTGCAATTCATCCCAACCTGCTGCCCTGCTTTCGTGACAACGGAACCACAGGTTGCGATTCAACCTTCTTAAGCCTGGATCCCTGACTAACAATAGGCAGAAACACACAGGACGAGCTATTGGTGGTCGTGGTGGTTGAGGAGTGGAGCTTGATGCGTGGCGACCCCATTCATTAAAGGGTAGAACTATTCCACAGGGTTTTCTGGGCCTGTCCTTCGATGGCATGGCTAGGGAGGTTCAACCTGCCCACCTTTGGGTTAGCAGTCAAACACATACCTTCTGTGCCACCCAAGGCCCTTCTAAGCACATGCAGCACTTGGAATTGCTTATGTGTTATTTTATTATAACAATTGACTGCGAGTGATCATAGGACTGAGTTTACCTCAACAGAAGTGATAAGCAGACTGAGTTCTCTACATTCTCACATCCATCTTTACAGCTAGAAGCAAATCATTTGAAAATGGTGGGGGGTTGACAATATGGACAGTGTTAGAATGGCTTGACTGGAGAAACAAATCTATTGCCACTCATATTTGTGTAAGAGAGAACTTTATATCACATGATGCAGTACGTGCAATGATGCGGAAGGCAGGAAGATCACGGGCCGGTGGGTGGAAAGCCCTATGGATCCGATGGCAGAGGATGCATCTCCAGGGCTCTGGCTGCCATCAGCGTGGCTACATGTGGCTTGTCAACAGAAATGTGTAGCAGAAAGAGAGTGTGCCCTGCCTCCAGCGAGGAAGAGAGGAAATGCCCAGAATTCTCTTGAGAAGGCCATGCCCACAAGGAGACATCAATCAGACTGTGACCTGATTGACAAGCGAGACTCCACCCCTATAACCTATTTATCAAGTTGAAATGAAATTAGTTAACCACCACATGGACATAGAATTTTAATAGCAGCTGAGTAGTAAAGAACTTGATTACAAAAGCCAGGAAGCTGATCTGTGTTGGTGACCTGTGATAATTTGGAGAATAGACCTGAATTTGAGCTCTAAGAGGTGAAATTGGAAAATATAATATTAGCAATCCGTGTTGACGACATTTGGTAATTAATCCACCAGGAAAGAATTGGAAAGAAAGAAGAAATGAAAAGAACTAACCATTTTGCAAGCAGAAAAGAAGGAAGTTGCAAGTGTATTTACTTCCTATTGCTGTAATAAATTGCCACAAATGGAGTTGCATAAAACAAAAGTTGTTTCCCTAAATTCCAAGCCAAAACACACACAGTCCTGGATTCACTTCTGACTCGTAGTGAATGTGACTGTGCAGAACAGAGAACGGCTCAGGGAAATTTCCAGGCTGGGCCACTTTAAGAAAGCAGAAAGCCTCCTCTTTCTCCTTCCGAGGGGCTGAGGGGTTTTCCCTGGGGTAGCTTAGGCAGGCGGGGTTCTGCCTGCTGAGTTTGGATGCAGCATCATCCCTCCCACCACCAGAGCGCCTCCACTACAATTCAAGAAAGAAAACAAACTCACTGCCCTTGAGCCAATTGGAACTCACAGCAGCCCTATGGGACAGACAAGCACTGGCCCTGCGGGGCTTTCTCCCTCCTACAGTTCACGAGTTCAGAAGTCAAAAAGGGGTCTTGCTGGGCTAAAAGCCAAGACTGCTTCCTTTATAGAAATTCCGAGGGAGAATCTGGGGTTTGGGTTTTGTTTTGTTTTGGAGTTTTTGTTTGTTTGTTTTGTGTTTTGAGGTTTGTTTACTATTGGGTTGGTTGGTTTTGTTGCATTTCACTTTGTTGTTTGCCTTTTCCAGCTTCTAAAGGTTGCTCACATTATTTGGCTCATAGGCTCCTCCTTCCATCATCAAAGCCAGTAGGCTTTCTCCCATCACATCCCTGTGATGCTGACTCTGATGCCTTCCTCTTCCACGGACAAGACCCTTGTGTGACATCCAGTCCACCCAAATACTCTAGTACGAAAACAAGTAAATAAGTAAAACCCCATTTGTTGCTATCTAGTCAATTCCGACTCATAGAAACCCTTTGCAACTAAGTGGAACTGCCCCATAGAGGTGCTAAGTCTGTCAATGCTTATGCGTGTGAATTGTCACATCTTTCTCCTGCATTATGGCTGGTGGGTTAGAACCCGAGAATTTTTGTTAACAACCAAGTGTTCAATCCCTGAGTCCCCATAAGGAACTCTTTAATCTAGCATAATCTCTTCTTCTAACTCTTGCTACGGGTGGTGGTTAGGGACCATTGCGCTGGTTTCCACTCATAACCACCATATCTACAACAGAACAAAACACTGTCCAGTCCTATGCATATCAGATGATATGCCACCGACAAAACTAATGTAGGCATATTTGGGTGCCACGAGCGTGGAGCATGCTACAAACAGTCGTGTGTGCACTCACAAAGTGTTCCCGTTTCTCATGCTTACTTGCTATGGAATGTTTTTAGAGAACATCCATTGAAATCTGGTCTCTTTTTACAGAATATTCTGTGGAAAAGACTCCTGTAAATAATGAGTAATCCTCCAAATTGTCTGATTTAAAAGAGTAGCATGATCCGTTCTTTCTTTTAGAATGCTGAACTTTAATCCTGTTTATAGTTTAAAACATAAAAGATGGAAAATACTGAAATCTGTTAAGCTTATGAAATATTTCAGGTAAAAATTTATAAAGGTACAAGTAACTACTCATGGTAATGTTTTTAAAAGAATACTAACAATACTAATTATAGTTTAAAATTTCACAAATACTCCCTATGAGCTAAGAATTATGCTTCACGCTATAGGTGGCTTATTGTGTTTGATCTTCTTAATAACCCAGGAGGTATTATTGTTATCTCCAGATATCTGGAAATATCAACAGATGAAAATACCAGCAGATGTAAAAAAAACCTGTCAAATGTATTGTTAAATACATTTTACAAGCTCATATAGCTAGAAAATCATTTAGTTCTGATGTAACTCCAAATACCATCCCCTGAACTATTTAGTGGTAGAATCAGGTATCTAGATATGCATCAAAATCAATGACTTATTGAAATGCTTGCCTGAAAAGAAGTTAAAAAAGACTCGGGGATTTCAAGCTTAGTGAATTTGATAGTATCACCATAATACAGTTTTAAATTAAAACACACATACACAGAGGAAGAAAAAAAATTAGTTTAAGTGGAAATTATGTGCTCAAAGAGATATTACTAAATAGGTGGATGCATTTAATACATGCCAAAAGAGTTCTGGGTTAGAGACAGAAATGTGCAACTCAGTATTGTAGGTGGTGGCTGAGAAAATGACCCTCAAAGACAGTTTCAAGAAAAGGATGATGGGGGTCAAGACTGTAGACCCCAAGAAAGCGCTTCTGTTTTGCAAACCTGATAATAAAAAGAATGCTATCATTCTAATACTTGGGCTTTGGAAGAGAATCAAAATATCCTGTTTTGTATTCAAAGGAGAATCAATGTATCTCCTCCTCTTTGTATTCCTGGTTTCTGCATTACAAGTAAACCAAGACCAAACCCATTGCCAGGGAGTCTATTTCAATTTGTAGAGACCCTGCAGGACAGAATAGAACTACTCCATCGGTTTCCAAGGCTCTAGACCTTTATGGGAGCAGACTGCCCCCTCTTTTGACCATGGAGCGTGGATGGGTTACAACATCAGGCCTTACAGTTATCTGAATGACACTTAACCCAGTGTGCCACCAGGTTTCTTGTACTAAAAGTAAAAGTTGAAAGATAAAAAGCATTGTGGATCCCTGGCTAATTTGCCTCCATGGTAGCAAACAGCCTTTGTGAGGGGCTAGTTTACTAATCACTGGTTCTGTGGACAAATTTAAATGATTCTTTAAGTTAGTCTTTCAGTGTCATGTTCTGACATCAGGAAGAAAATTATGCCCTCTCTCATTCTTTCACTTGTTGACTTTTATCATTTATATGTACCAGGAATTTTGTAGTGCACTGAAGATACAAATATGGATAGCATACACTTTTCTGATTTAAGAAATTTACCATCAATTGAGGGTACAAATTAAAGAAGAATACATTACAATTCTTTGTGCACATTTGGAGATTTGTGTAAGATGCAATAGACCAGTGGTTCTCAACCTTCCTAATGCTGCAACCCTTTTAATACAGTTCCTCATATTGTGGTGGCCCCCTAACCATAAAATTATTTTCATTGCTACTTCATAACTTTAATTTTGCTACTGTTATGAATCAGGTGACCCCTGTGAAAGGGTCGTTCAACCCCCAAAGGGGTCGTAACCCATAGGTTGAGAACCACTCTGATAAACATACATAAAGAGATGGGAGGGTTGGCTTGCTCAGGAAGATCAGAAAAGATTACCCAGAGGAGAATGATCTGGAACAGATATTAAACAAGAACAAGAATTTACAAGAAGGTCTAAGGGTATGCATTGTTCTTCAAAATCATCTACCTTCAATTACATAAGTGGAATGCCAGGATCAAGATACATTTGGTGATGTAAAAAACTGAACCTGCTTTAGGCAGTAAATACAAAATTATTTTCATTCATTTGTCCATGCCCTTGCTTCATATGGTATTCAGTTCTGGAGCATGCCTGGTCTACTGAGAATACCCAGTGCTCACAACAGAATATTGTACAATCATTTCTGGGTTGCAAAAGGGTAGTAAGGGGGAAAGAGAGAAACTACAGAATAAGGCAAAGAAGTACAGAGATAAGAGAAAGAAAAGTGGGGTTGGGGGGAGAGATGGAGAGGAAGGCAGAGAAAATGGAGAAGTATGAAGAGGAAAAGTCCTTTTGGTCCAAAAATCTCTGCCTTTCTGGTGCAGGGGTCCTGAGGAGCCATCAGCCAAGAGGAAAGGCACTGCACCGAGCTTTGATGTCGAAGAGCCGGTGTGCTATCCCCTCCCGGATCTGCTTAGTCTTCACACCATAGACAATAGGATTGAGCATTGGTGGCATCACCACGTAAAGATTGGCCAGCACAATATGCACATGTCGAGGAATGTTACGTCCAAAGCGATGAGTCAATAAGGTGAAGAAAGATGGAACATAAAACATGAGGATGACACAGAGGTGGGAGCCGCAAGTGCTGAGGGCTTTGTGCCGAGCCTCCTGGGAAGGCAAACGAAATACCGCCCGGAGGATCAGTGTGTATGACACACTAATGAGAATCACATCCCAGATGACCATGACAATGGGCACTGAAAAGCCGTACCAGATGTTGGCAGTGATGTCAGCACAAGCTAAGCGGGCTACTCCAATATGCTCACAGTAGGAATGAGGAACAACATTGGTCCGGCAGAAGGGCAGCCTCTTCAGCAAGAAGATCACCGGGAAGATGATGCAGAAGCTTCGGGTTACAATGGCCAGAGCAATCCTTCTTACAACGGACCACGTTAGCACTGCTGTGTATCTCAGCGGGGAGCAGATAGCCACGAAGCGGTCAAAAGCCATGGCCAACAAGACGGCTGACTCCCCGACAAACATCACATGGACAAAGAAGACTTGAGTGACACAGGCATCAAAAGCAATTTCACGAGCGTGCAGCCAGAAGATGCCTAGGGCCTTGGGCACAGTGGTGGTGGACAGCAAGATATCCGTCGTGGCCAGCATGGAGAGGAAGAAGTACATGGGTTCATGGAGGTTCCGTTCGGTGATGATGACCACCAGCAGGAGGCTGTTTCCCAGGACTGCAATGATGTACATGAGGCAGAGAGGGATTGACAGCCAAATGTGATAAGCCTCTAGCCCGGGGATGCCAAGTAGGACAAAAAATGCAGGCTGAAAGACGGTAAGGTTGGTGGGAGTCATGACCACCTTCAGAGTCCCCGCTGTCGTGACTGATGACCTGATGCGTCTGATGAAAGGAAAGGAACAGCCAGTGCCTCTGAAGACCTGCACAGATGATCGATGATAGCATAGATTTCTGAATGTAAGGACACTCCAAGGGCAAGGTCCCTAAGATGATGCTCACATGGATGTAGGAATGGTTTGGGGCCATCAGCAGCTTATTTGCTTACAGAACTTCTGTCTCAAACATGCTTCAAGAGCTAATAGTGTTGTCCCTACCTCCAATCCCCTTGCTCCCAGAGTTGGACCACACCTACCTTTCTAACTTCCTTCTGCCATTTCTGTACAGCAGTAGTTCTCTAACTGTTGTATTCGTCCCCTTCATGGCTTCTATGTTGACCTCAAATTCTCTCCCTTTCTACTTGTTTAAACTAATTTTAGCCAAAAATAGCTCCTTAAAATTTCATACATCATATCTTGCCCTGTCCCACGTCTCCCTTCGCCCACTTTTCTGTTGTCCGTCCCCCAGGGAGGAGGTCACATGTAGATCCTTGTAATCGGTTCTCCCCTTCCAACCCACCCTCGTCTACCCTCCCAGTATCGCCATGCACACCACTGGTCCTGACGAGATCATCCGCCCTGGATTCCCTGTGTTTCCAGTTCCTATCTGTGCCAGTGTATATCCTCTGGTCTAGCCAGACTTGCAAGGTAGAATTCGGATCATGGTAGTGGGGGGGGGGACGGGGACGGGGGAGGAAGCACTTAGGAACTGGAGGAAAGTTGTATGTTTCATCATTGCTACATCGCACCGTGACTGCCTCGTCTCCTCCCCAAACCCCTTCTGTAAGAGGATGTCCAGTGGCCTGCAAATGGGCTTTGGGTCTCCACTCCACACTCCCCTCCCCTAATTCACAAAATAATAATTTATAAATTATCAAGAGTTCATGAGGGAGGGGTTAGTGGGGAAGCAGGGGGGAAAATGAGGAGCTGGTGCCAGGGCCTTAAGTGGAGAGCAAATGTTTTGAGAATGATGAGGGCAATGAATGTACAAATGTACTTTACACAATTGATCAATGTATGGATTGTGATAAGAGCTGTATGAGCCCCTAATAAGATGATTTAAAAAAAATTTTTTTAACTAAAAAAAAAAGAAGATAAAAATATTAAGTGGTAAAGTCATGCAAAATGAACCAGGTGGGAATGTTAGCACTCAAAGCTAAGAGAAAGGGATGCCTATGATATATATTTTGAAATTAGGGGAGACATGGCTTGGGCAGTGATTTTTGTGCAAAGATAAGGCAGAAGTTTTGGATGTTTGTTTTGTCTTCCTAACTTCTGGTCTATTTATCCTCACTTTTGGGAATGGGTTGGGCTTACTTTGATGGAAAGACTTCTATGAAATTGTGTATTGACAGAAGTTTGATATTCTCTAGGTTATTAAAAATCTTATTGCATTCTGTAAACAAAATTGTAACAACATAAATTATTAAACACGAACCCTCACATTTTCATTGTCATCTTCCAGGGATGACTTACCTAAAGCAATTATGACTGTATAATAAACAATTTATGGTAGTAGTTACAATAGAAAAAAAAAGAAGAAAACCACCTCATTACCGCCCAAAAAAATGGTTCAAAATATTATGATATAGTAAGGATCTATAAAGTGAATTTTTTCTTGACATAGCATCTAAATAATACCCAACATATAAAAATAAGGCAAGATAAATCCTGATCTTATAAAACTAAGCGATCTCTTGCACATTCCAAGTAGCCAATTGAGTCATGTGATAGTCGGTGGGTGTGATTAATGTTTTTTTCACTGTTGTCATGTGACACTTGTGATTGTCTGAATAACTTCATCTGGGGTTAATGTCAAAAACCAACACTCTTGTACAAGGCCCCAATAAAATGATTTGAAACAAAACAGAAAAACAATTTAATACATCACATTGTAAAGGCCGTGTTCACAATAAGGTCTTCTTCCTGAAAACCTATGAACTAAACTGTAGTGCGACTTCATTGGATTTAATTACATTAACTTTAGTTAGCTATTACGTTGAAAGACCCATGGTGGTGTAGTGGTTACAAACAGAGCTGCTAACCACAAGGGCAGAAGTAAGAAACCACCAGCTGATTTGAGAGAGAAAGACGAGGCTTTCTACTCCCATAAAGAATTACAGTCTCGGAAACTCACAAAGGCAGTCCTGTCCTTCCGTATAGTGTGGCTATGAGGCAGACTTGTGTGTGTTAAAGTACCTTGACTAGTTCACGAGACTTGCCAACCATTTTGGAAGTTGCAGCACTGTGCGCAAGAAAACAGATCACCAAGTAGGAATGCAGCAGAAACCTGAAAAGAATATTTCTTCACTCTGACTAAAACTAAACCTTTCCTAGGGCCATGAAGGAAAGCTAGGAGGTGGGGTTTAGGGGGACCATCTGCATTACCAGCTCCTCATAAATGTCTTCTGCTCTTCCACACAGAAGGTTCTGGTCCGTGTCTCTCTCTTTTTCCACAGGGGACTCCCAGGGCAACTTTTCTGAGTAGAAGCAATACCTTGTCCCCGACTCCAAGATGGCCCTCCTCCCTGCTTTACTTGTGAAACTTCAGGAAGAGTCCCTGTTTCCCCATTTCTGAGGAGCAAATACAGAGCCTTCCTTACCTGCACTGTTCCCACAACTAAGGTGATGTCGGTTCCTTCTGGGGTATAGCTCAGCTACCGAGACGGGGGAAGATGATTGATTAAGACTCTGGAAGGGAACCTGGAGAAAAGGAACTCTGAAAAAGTACAATCTAACAAACAAAAAACGCACGAGTAAAGGCAACAAATACTGGCTGCATCTATTGATAGTGGTGTCCAGAAGGCCCCAGGGACAAGGACACGCAAAAAGTTAAAATCCCAATATGGGTCAATCTTCCAGATTCGAAACGGAGGCGCTTCCTTAGAGCATGACATCCATCCTGCAACCAGAAAGCAGTGGAACTTCAGGTGAATTTGGGGAAGGGCGTGGGGCCAGACTAAGATGTTAGGGCCTCAGGTAGATGCATAATTTTGCATCCTCTTACTTTTAACCCAGAGGAAAGCAGGTCAAAGCTCCCCAACAGCTCCATGGGAGAAATGCCTGGCGTTCTTCTTCCGTAAAGACGATAACAAAGAAAACCCTGTCGGGTAGTTCTGCTCGGTCACAGGGGGGTTCTATGAATCGAAAATTGACTCAACAACACCTACATATTTTAAATATTTATAGTAAAGTATATTTTAAATATCATTTAACTTTCACAGAGAGAAAAGAGGGAGATTTTCTAGGATAAGCACAAAGAAGGACCATTGGAAGCATCGCTCAGTCTCTACTCTAAGACAGTGTTCCCAAATGTATATAAACAAAAGTCTATTAGGAAAAAAGTCATTTTCCTTAGGGGAGAGAAAAAAAATTTACTAAAGCTATATTTTCTCACCAATTTTCCCAACCTCCCCCATTATTACCATTTTTTCCTTAAGAAAACAGTAAGATCTTTGGCATGCGTCATCATAAAAACAGCTATATCTTTTCACACACCTGCTGATATTACCCCAACACTGAGACAACAAAAGAGGGGTGAGGAAAGAAGTATCAAGACCTGACTGGCTACTGAGAAAGTTCTGGAACAAATATTTCTATCTGTAGAGGAAGAATGTCTGTTTCATTTAATGGCTGTTGCTCTGTTGTTAAGCACCTTAGACTCATTTAGCTGAAAAGGATGGCACACAAAATCATCAAGACACAAAAGAATCTCACAGAAAGTCCCTTCCAGTCCCTAAGAGGATACCCAGCTGAACAAGAAAATAGATCCAGGAGGCAAGGAACCATGTGGCTGGGAGTGAGTACACTGCAGTGAGCAAGGATGTGCAGCTCTGAGCCGGACTTCCTGAGCTCGCCTCCCAGTTCTTCCTCGACTAAAGGAACGACTTTGATCAAATGGCTTAACTTTTGCCTGCTTCACGGTTTTTCATCTGAAAAAAATGTGAATCGCAATAGTTGTGACGTTTAAATTCCTATATAGTGCCTAGAAGAGTGGACTTGTATTTTTATTTATAACTCTGACCATCATCCTATTGTATTTTCTCCAATATGCAAAAGACATGAACAATTATTTAACAAAACAAACATATATTCTGTACCCAGATCTGAGGAAAAGGCACCCCTTCCCCAGGATGAAAGGAGAAATGGATAAAAGACTGTCCTAAAAGAACAACGGAGCCACGTTTTCTCTGCACCCTCTCTTCCCGTTCCCAGAGCCGTTCCTTCTTTGAGGCCACCCAACTCAGTATTTGGGTTATGTCCATTCCCTACGTAGGGAGTTGTGTAGAGATGCTTTATGACCACACAATCTTTATTTTGAAAGGCCCTCCTAACGACAAAATATTATATTAAGACATACCTACCACCCACACCGATATAATTTCTATATAACCCCACAGGAGACATGTACTTGTCGGTCAGTTTGTCGTGCTGTGGTGGCTTGTGTGTTGCTGCAATGCTGAGCACTATGTCACTGGTATTTCAAATGTCAGCAGGGTTACACAAAATGAGTAGGTTTTAGCAGAGCTTCCAAACAAAGAACAGACTACAAGGAAGGAATCGGTTGTCCACTGCAGCGGAATTGGCCACTGAAAACCCTATGGATAACATGAGAATTGTGTCAGTTACAGAAAACTTCATCTAGGAAAACAGAATATTGGCAGAGATAGTGCAAGAAAATAGGCCCCTCAGATCAGAAAGCACTCAAAATATGACTGAGAAACAACTGCTCTTGCAAAGTACAGTTGGCCATAATGACATGGATGGAGAAAATCTTCAAGTGTAGAGCCTCTGGGACCTTCATTTGCTGATGGGTGCACAACTCAAAATGAGAAAGAAACATTTGAAAACAGTGATCAGAACTAGGAATGTACAAAGTATGAATCTAGCAATATTGGAAGCCATTGAAAATGAAGTGGAACTCATAAAGATTGATATTCTAGGCACTAGTAAGGTGAAAG